CTTTTTCTTATTTGCCTACAGTCTATGCTCATCTCCCATCAAAAGTGGCACTGCCCCCTAGAGGGTCAATTTGTTACTACATACTCTGTCTAGAAGCCGATATTTACGGACAAGCTTTAGCAGATCGTCCCCCAGCCACTCTCGCTGAAAAACATAAAAGACGTCTATAGACGTCTTTGGCAGTCAGCGGTTGGATTTGAATTGACGTCTATAGACGTTTTTGGCAGCCAATGAGTTAATGACTGTGTTGTTGCTCAGCACACCTCCTCCACCAGGACTGGGGCTCCACGGCGAACTCGGAGCGTCCGACTGCGGCCGCGAAGGCGAAAGGCCACGCCAGCAGCATCAGGAAAGAGACCAGGAGCAGCCGCACGGGGAAAACCGTGACCGACATCAGTCCGATCTGGGGAGAGGAAGCACACATCATAAACCAACTCAAAGCCCCGACGGCCGCCTTCTGCCACATTCCTCACAGTCCAAAGCCGTAATTACTAGAGGTGGGACGGTTCACAAAATCCACGGTTCGGTTCGCTTCACGGTTTCGTGGTCACGGTTTTCGGTTCGATTCGGTATATGTTGATTGTTAGGAAAATGTCTTATGTCTTGTATAGTCGGGTTAAAACTGAAAGAAAAAAGCAGTCTGACATTTGATCCATTATTGTGACAGTCTGAGGTTAAAAGTAGGTGAGATTCTGGCATTGCCAGAGAGGAAACAGTGCTAATTCCAACATGTGCTTCCCTCTAAATGCAAAGTGGTCCCATACAGCAGACCTAGAAACTGCTGATTTTTATCGGCTACGCTGCTTCTTCTTCTTCTTGTTTCCTACTGGTGGTTGGCTTTGGGCGCAGTAGCGCCCCCTTCTGCTCTGGAGTGTAAACGCTTCCCTCTGAGAAAAAGGAGCAGCAGGAACCGAACGCAACACATGAGAACCAAACCGAGACAGTCCAACCCAACGGTTCGGACGGTTTTCAGAAACCGTCCCATCCCTAGTAATTACTCAAACGTTTCTGAATGGTGAGTTATGAGCTTTATTTGACTTTTTTCTTAAAAACGTGTATGTTTGTACGTCAGGCAAATACGGTTGCTGACTAAATGTAAATATGACCGCTGTTTGTGTAATTTACTGCTTATAAAAATCTAAAAGTAGCATGCTATTCCCGTTACACGAGTAAGATAGGCGGAGTAAGCTGAGGTGGGGAGGGGCAACATGCAGGTGAAAGGCTGGAATATTATAATGAGCTAGAGCTAATGACGTCAGAAACTACCCACTCCTGAAACCTCC